AAACGTCGAGCATCAACATATTGTATACAACGAAACTTACTCTCCTTAAAAAGAAAGAAGTTACGAATCAACTATGGTAAAAAATATTTGTATACGGTATTGAATATGTTCTGGAAACGTTAAAAAATAGATCACAGCACTGAACGCAATGTATCTCGAAGCTATCAACAGTATAGTATCGCGCTTCACGGAGAGCCGTTACAAGCGTTAGCCCACTAATCCCGCCGATTCACACGTAAAACAATAGGCGCGAGCGTGTCTTTGAAACTTGAGTTCCAAGTGGCATCTACAACACATTGTTTATTTACATCAAAACACGTGTTCCGTGTAGTAGTAGTATATGGCCAAAAATAAAAACAGCCGTTATTCGGCCATCTTTGATCTGATTATGAAACACACTGATATGTATGATGTATGTGCCAAATACGAATGAAAATGGTACATAAATTGTGGAAATATAGTAATAATGTCAAAAAGTCAGATGGCTGTCACTCGGCCATCCTTGACCAGATTTTGAAACAAATTGTCATGGACATGCATCCTAACATGTATAAAGTACATGTACATGTGCCAAATTTGAATGAAAACTGACAGAGCACGTCCAAGATATCGGATAAAAAAACAAAAACAAGATGCCTGCCATCTTTGATCCAATTGCGAAATAAATCGTCATGGACATGTATCCTAACATGTCTAATCTATGTACCAAGTTTGAATGAAAACTGACAAAGCATGTCCAAAATACAACATTTTAAAAAAACAAGATGGCTGCCAGTCGGTCATTTTGAAACGAATCGCTAAACCACTGCATGTGCATATGTCCCACATAAATTACTAGGCACATGCAAAGAATGAACGGAATCGGTCCAAGGGATTCTGAGATATGACTCCGAACGGAAGCACGGACACACAGGCGGACGGAGACCGAATTATAAGTCCCGTTTTTGAACTTTGTCCAAACGAGGACTTACAACAATTCAGTAACAATGAACATTTTATACTGGGGTCATGTGACATTCGTAAATTCCCTTAAAACATACAATTATTTAATAATCCATTTTTCAATAAAAATGTCGCTGGATATCTTCTTTGTATAACAACCTTTAGAATTTTTCTACACTTGTGTATCACTAACAGGTAACAACTGGAAAAAGATACAAATACATTTACGTAGAACAGGAGTACAGTGCAGTTGGAGTCAGTACTCAATGGGTACCCACCTTGACTCCTTCCTCAGCGGTGTGTTCGTCCAGTGCTTGTTCCACTACCTGTTTGGGTAACTCATGGAAGTTGGCTTTCTGCATCACTAAAGCTAGTTTCTGTAGCAACCAGAATTCATTATCCAATTTCTCTCTCCTTAACCACTTCCTGGTGGCTATCGTGTCTTTATCCGGATTGATGGGATCAAATAAAGCCTGGCAAATGGATGGAATAAATCAATATATGATTTTTTTTTAACACTTTGTGTATTTTTTTTTTATTTTCACAAATAAAGATATTAATCATAAACACCAGATCATTTTGTTATGTATTTTTTCTCTTCCCAGTTTATAATGTGATGTGGATGTACGATGAACAGTCCAGAACACCAGAGTGGTTTATTCTATTATGAATATACTGAGAAAGCTTCAGCTAATAACATTAAAAATCTATAATACACACATGGTCACTTATTCTGAAATAAATCCACCAACAGAGCACAGTTTCTGCGTAGTACAATGATAGTAACAAGACAATGATAATAACAGTGTGCTAGCTTCTGTGATCTTTTCTGTATCATTGATGAAGGAGCTTCCAGGTCATGTAACTAAATTATTAATTAAACTAATTCTGACCTCAAAATCATTGAACTAATACCAAGGGTAATGATAAAAATTTTATTTTAGTGAAATTTGAAATTATTTTCAGATATATATGCATTATAAAATTAAAAGACATTAGCATGTGATAATATCAAAGTATATGCGAGGGAAGAGGGGACTGAGTGAGTATAGAGAGGAGTGAATGAGAACATAGGGGAGGAGGATTTACCTTTAACTCTACTAGTATACTATGGTAATGGTTCGTTATAGCGGTATCAAGAGAAACTGCAAATTCCTCAAACTTTTTCTTCTCATCTTCTGTGAAGAACTTTTCTTCCTGAAGCAGATTTCTCATTAGGGATCGTCTTGATATAGGTATAAATCTCTCCCTGTGCTCATCCTCACCTGGGAGCTCAATGGATGGTTCCACTGTAGGTACAGGTTCACTGGGAGTGGTTGGTTGCGGGGAAGTACTGTACGATGCACTAACTCTTCCCCAGTGTGTTATCCTCAACTAATATATTAAAATACATGTAAGTAAGAAAAAAAAATAAACGGTACAATGTATATAGGGCAATCAAATCATGCAACAAAGGAAGAATAGTGCAACACGTGATAATAACTTTATTGACATTGTATCCACAATGGGATATTGATCAATACAATACAGGTAATATATATAAAATTATGACAAGAAAAAAAAAAGTTACAAATATAACTAAAACTAATACAATACATCACAGTTAAAAAAAAAAATTATAAAATACATTTATAATAAAAATACTGTTTCTTTGTTATGAGGCAGCTGGTAATCTTTTTTTAAAGCTGTCTTCCCTTATAATAAAACACTAGTGAATAAATTTACTTATTTTTTTTAATATTTTAGTTTTAGTATGTTTATCAAATTTTCATAGTCAGAGCAATTGTCCTGGAGTATGTTGTGCTTGTCAAAGAAGTCATCTCACTCTTTTTTGCAGTATTTGCACTTTAGAAGGAAGTGTGTCTCATCTTCGATCTGCATTGTTGCATTTTTGGGGGATCAGATCAATATTGTATCTTCCCATTTTTCTGTGAGAGTAGCCATTAGACACTAGTCAAATCACCGCATATTATTTGGAAATGAACGAAAACAAACTAAATATTGAACACTTATTAAATGGCCGTGAGAGCGACAGCACATTTCTATTCATTTTTCAGGCGAAAGAAATAGACTGGTTTGAAGCTCCATAGTCCTGGACTGTAGGAATTAGTTACTGGTGGCTTGAGGAAAGATATCATTTTAATCAGAGGACGCTCGACAGTTCACGTCAATTCGACCGGGCTGATTACCTAGGTACACAGGGCAACCGTAAATGATCAGTGTTTACACTGAGACAAATAATGGAATCTGAGGTTTACATCATAATATACCGGGATAATGTAGCTAACTTTTAAAAATGTTCAAGCACTGAAAGTCAGTCGACGTGTGTCGTCTGTCACCTGAGAGGCTGAGCTTTCAGCTGCCGGCAACGAAGATACTGCGAAAGCAAGTGGCATTCAATTTGTTCTATATGAAAACAGTAAAGACTACGCTGTACAACACTAATTCCCACAATAAAACATACCTTTAAAGCCGAGTTACACCTAAACATACGGGAAATCCTACTACCTTCCTGTAAAATCCTGCTGCAGGCCGCCATTTTGATTATACAGAACGACAGACACGTGACTGTGTCACAACAATGAATTGTGGGTACCTGGGCAGAAACAAAACTTTTTCCCCTAAAGTTGCAGACGACAGGAAGTAAAATCATAATCACTGATGACGATCTGGATTTTCCAACTTAAAAAAATAATTTTTAATGGATGAATAAATATATAAATAGTCATCTATGATATTAATTTAGTGAAAGTGTGGTTATATTTGATTTGATTAGTTACAGCAACCAAACATCCCATTTTTTTCTGAAAAACATATACATGCGATTTTCCCATTTAATTAAAAACTACAAAAAAGTAACGGTCATATTTTAAAAAACCTCACCGTAAATATAATTGAAAAAAAAAGATATAAAAACGGGTTTGCCGTTATCGTTTGATAACCATACTTTCCCATATATTGTTTACTACCGTAGTACATGTAACTGTATATATTTTTCAAGACTTTTTTTTTTCAAAGTACTAAGACAACTATGAGACAACACGACGACCGACATATATTGTTGAACTTTGAACTCTCTCTATCCACGGAATGATCTTATCAGTGATATAGGTCGATTCGTCACGGTATTTGTAACAACACAAATTATGCATGAGGCGGTTCACGGTAGAGCGCAGTGTCTAATACATCATAAACAATTACCTGTATCATCTCGGAAACTTTCAAACTTTCCTTCTAACTATACACATTTTGAAAAACGTACTTAAAATGGACTTCAAATTTTTAGTATTTGTATTGCTTCTGTCAAACTCTGTAGCGGCTTTTTACAAATCGACGAATCGTTCGCTGAAAGACGTGAATGGAGGGACAGATTGTGCAGGTGAGTGCTTCGAACCCTGGCTTGTCCGACTTATACCGTCCGTACTATCAACTAATAGCTGTGAACATGTGTGCGTGGAAGGGGGTATATAATTGATGTCAGGCACGATATAGTGAATATTCGGAGGGTATACAAATATATCTATTATGTACGTTCATTTTTGAGGACCACGACTGTCTCTCACGTGAGTTACGCTGTGTCTGCTTGATTAGATAATTTCCCGAGTAAGTGACATTTTGCTTATTTGGCAATTTGCACGGGTAGCTTTAGAAAGAATGTTGCCGTACCATCAACTGCCCTGCCTCGAAACCTACCGGTATATAACACAATATACTAGTAGATTGCGACCTTGATGCTGGTGATCGGAGACAGTGGTCATCGTAAACTTAAACTTCCATCTGAAATGTTTTTACATAAAACGCATGATAATTGCTCAGAATAAAGAAAAAGGAAAATACGTGACAATTATAGTCCAGTGCATTCTTCTTACTTCCTGGTTTATTCTTGTAGTAGATTCAATTGCATGTTACGTCACGGTGGCAGAGGTTTGACAAGATTATGGGTACATACGTTAGAGTGGGCCAATATTTAGGGGGGTAGATTATAATTACCAGAGATACAATTTGGTTGAGCATCTTTCTGCGAATAAATGATTGCGTTCGACTGAAACTCGTGGTCTCGTTTTACGTAGCTTCTTATTTCTCCAATATAATAGAACAGAACAAATGCCCGTTCCTTGCTATGACGTCACGGTAGCTGTTACGGTGACTTTCAATTCCGTAATTCTACACAATATGTCACAACATAGCCTTAAAGGACACGTGACATTCCAATAAACTCGTCGTGCTAACAATGTCTCTGACTGTCGTACACTGAAAAACCATGAATCTTAATTGTGCTGTAGTCGTGTTTTAATGGTTTACATCTGTCGACGTTACGCTCCGGATCAGCAGACTCACTGCGAAAGGGAGTTAACGGCGGCAACAATTGCGCAGGTTGGTGGACCATACTATGTAAACCCATGTACTTGTCAGACAGGACTAATTCCAATGGAGTATTCTTTATGATGTGTTTTTTTTTAATTCATCTACGTATTTTTTGTCGCTGTCTAATGAAATTGGTCACACAAAAATATATACGTACAAAAATAAAAATGTGAAACGTTAGTCAAATGTTCAAGGATGTTTGTCGAGGATTTTCTCAGTCAGTTGTTATTATTGTGCCAGTGTGACCTATACACAAAACAGTGTGGAGTAAGGACGTAAGATAACGTGAGATAACGGTGTAACATCACATGTTCCCTCAGTTGACCTTTGGTTTGTATTGTCCTTTATTGCGGAGATAGTAGTGAGTTTGTTGGCCCAGTAGTATGAGGCGACTTCTGTACGGGCTTCTCGAGGTTCATTCGTGAAGGAAAACCAAAATAGTCATTAGGTTCTTTAAATAAACGGACAAGTTGAATGCTTCCTCTTTTCTCAGATGTGTACATTCAATTACTGTGCCATGTGCGGCAGCCGAGGCGGAGGCGACCGTAGCATTTACAAAAAAAATGACGCAAATTTAGAGATTTCTCTTGTAACTTTCGTTTTCATTTAAAATTGAAATTAGTTTAATTCGAACTTTTCCTTTCATTTTAAATTCGTCCTATTATATTCATTTCATTGACATTTCAATTAAAATCTTTAAAAAAATATATTTTCATTGTAATTTTAAAATAGTTTTTACTTTCCAATCAAATTTCAATTTTACTTCCATTTTTATAGCATTCACAACTTAATTTATATTTATAATACATATATTCCAGAAAGGATTGCCACAATGAGTCCGCACATTCTTTTTCTAGATTATTAATATAAATAAACGTTTTGTTTACAGCTTGTACAATAATAGTGAGTTTAATAGATCAGTTGTCATTGGTATATTCAGAGAGTATCGACCAGGCTATGCAAAGACTGTGTGGGTATCTTCCAGGTAAGGCTCGTCAACTGTCAGTACTTCACGACCTATAAGTCAAATTATAGCGGTGCGCCGTTTACGCATGCGCGTAGTGTTATGAACGTGTCTATACGGAAAATACGGGAGAATTCAAACAGTAAGACATTAACTGTAGGAATGTTACAAGATCATACAAATATAGCACTTGCACTACAGACCCGATCGGCCCAGGAATAAATAAAACGCGTTATTATATTTGCAAACTTAGATATTGTTTGGAACAATGTAATTTCAACATCACTGTTGTAACTATACGGTTTTTGAAGCAGAATATAGATTGCCGTAGAGTATCAGTAACCCACTATTCTAGACAGACATGCTTATGGTAAAATTCTAAGATTAGAGTCATCGAGGTATACAGGTGTGAGTACATTGTGTCGAGGAATAAAGTACATATATTCGGACTTTTTAGAGGATAAATAATATCACAAACCATGTTCAGGATAGTAAACTTTTACTAATAGACCATTTTCCGTTCACTGCGAGAATCACGCGTTATGCGTGAAATCGAACGTAAAAAACAGGACAAACAAAGGTCATAACGTCGTAGTCGCGTCAAACATCGCGTGGGATTCGACAAACGCGAAAGTATTTCGGGGGACATTTCCATGCTTAATAATGTGCTGTCCACATTTGATGATAGACAATTTCGATTAAGTGAGGGTATTCGGAAGCAATATTCCTCTGTCGAAGATCGGCCGGTCAATGTAAGCTACGAAATAAAGAAATTTTCGTTCAAAATCAAATCGTTCGATTTTTGCGGCAGACGTTCGACGCGCGTCTTTCATGCATCTCGCGAGATCTCGCAATTGTACGGAAAATCACCTATTTATAATTTTGTGTAGGCTAAATATATGAATTTCTGGTAGTATTACTCGAAACGTTGTTGTCACCCTAGTTTATATTTTCAGATCAGTACAACACAGTGTGTAAAGAATTCATCTATGTAGCAGGACCCATTATAGTAGATCTGTAAGTATACTGTGTTTCCAAATGCGACTTCAATATTATAATACTTTATTTCTCCCCAAAACGAAAGAATTTCGCAATGTCGAAAACGGGAAACCTTTATCGTAGTGTTTGTGATAGAATAGATGTCCATGGGGGAGATAATGGTGAGCAAAATCGGTAACTACAATTTTACAAGTTAACAAAATTTTGCTCAAAGTATTAAAGTAATCCATGCGAGTGTTACACCCCTTTCACCCCTTAATTACACGAAGAACTGCAGTCAGATGTTGATAAGTCGTTACAATTGGTCAGGCAGTTTGTTTTGAAATTTACTTCATCTGTTCAAAATGTTGGCAACAACCC